GTTTATCTTCTATATTCGACTCACACCCAAGCGCAGAGCGTCGCTCCGGTCCAGTCGTCAAGTTCATGTTCAGCCAAACGGGCAACACCAATTCATCGGCTCCTATTTACAGCCCTCAATCCTCCCTAAGTCTGATTTGCCTATATGTGCGTACTGAGTTGCAAACTGGCCAACAGGCAGCACTTGCCCAGACACTGACGACCCTATCAATCGATGTCTGCTGCATGTCAGAAACGCGGCTGCAAGTTTCGAGTTCTATGATTACTCTGTGATTCCCAACGTGCAACACTGGCGCTAATTTCTCATTACGTTAGTCTGGAGATGATGCGGCTTCAAATGCGGATCAACACTCGGGCTGAATCTGCCTTGTTCGATTGGATGTGCGCTATCAGATTGGCTGGCTCGTACAAAGCATCTAAGTTGCGTGAGGACAACCGGTGTTTGTTTGTCATTTCGGCTTATGAGCCCACAAATGGTAGCGTTGACTCAGCAAAAGAGGACTTCTATCACCAATTAAACACGCTCTTCCGTCACAGAAAAGTACCGATACTACGGCAGTTGCTGGAGATTTGAGCGCCCAAGTCTGAAATCTGTCAACTGATGAGCTTCATCTGGGCGGTCAACACGTTGCAGTCTCCCCTAATGATAACGGTGAGCGGTTGCTACACTTGTGTGAAAATGCTCATCTCTTTCTTGCGAGCACTTACTTCCGACACAGCACCCACAGAAGAGTGACCTGGCACCCACCAACTTCGGACCAACCATGGACACAAATCGATAACATTGTGATCAGTTACCGCTGGTGAGTATGCGATTTGGAGCACGAGCGTGGATTTTAACCACGCACTTGTTTGCGCCGATCTCCGGGTGCGTTTCCGGGGCCGTCCGCAACGCCGCTGTGGACGCATGGATATTTCCCAGCTGGCGAGGCCAGGTTTTCAGAATGCGTGTCAAAGTACGCTGTCATCTGAGCTGAGTAAAGACCCACTGAACACAGTTGAAGGTCGCTGGTAGCATATCCGCCAGACGTTATTAGCAGCAGGCATGTCTTCATGTGGTAAATCAAATTGCCAACCTAGACAATGGGTCTACACAGTCTCCGATGGTTGGACCAGATGTGGCGCATGACAGCACACCGACTCCTGCGACGTGCGTTGTTTGCTTACCCGGGGTCTGAATGGGAGAACTGGAGATGAGGCCAAACGATGACTTGGTCAAGAGGAATTGCAAATCTCACTTTGAATTTGACGTCGGTTGATGTTTCTCCACTGCCGGGTTGGGGTCCCAAGGACGATGAACCTGTTTGTTTTTATACACAAGCTGACTTGGCGAGGAGCCGACCTCATTGGCATTTGCGTTGTGTGGATCTTTGTCCCTTCCCTCCTCTTCAGCTTCCCTCTCCAACAACGACCACAACCCAATTCATAATATCATATTTAGCACTATGTTCGTTTTATAGCTTTTGTAATCAGTTAAGTTTAATCTATTTTCTTCTTTGTATTGTGGTGCATTAGCTCTGGTGTGTCTCTCACCCTCGACTAACGTGTATTGATGATGATGATGTGTTGGTTAGCAAACACCGCAGCACGCATCCAGCGACTAGTGTTGGATACGGTGACCTTTGGAACTCACAACCACCGAACGCAGTGCCAAAGGTCTGATTAAGAAACTACCACAAATAGTCTGGTTATTTTTCCTAGGCCCCTACTCGATACTATGTATTAAATTAGCAGCGAGTATTGCATGTGTCTGCATCGTGAGGTCTTTCCTGCAGAACACCCTATCTGGATTGATCAGTCGACCTTCGCGGATGTAAACAAAACAACGAGATTTCATCATTGGTTCTTTAGCGGATCCGTCTTTGCTGTTTTTATATGGCTTTAATCCACAAAGTTCCACGTGAAATTACACGCGTTTCTCTTCAGGTATCCACTTATCATTTTATTTACTTCAAGTCGGCTTCCTCGCATGCTTTCATCTTTTGATCTCTGATCCACGTTTTCACCGTTAGCACTGCACCGTGCTGCTTCACATATAGCCCTTACTAAGAAGTGTGTGTGTGTGTGTGCTACATATATTTTCTCGTGTGATTCTCTTTTGCGGTTTGAAAGCTTGTAAGCTCCATCAATAAGTGTGTTGATCCGGCAACACTGGAATATAAATAGTTTATTCTCGTCACTGCGAGGCACACCATCAAGGGCGTGATCATGGTATTACAGACATGTATGATCGGCAATTGCACAAATTAGTACATTTTGACCAATAGCATAGGAATTTGTGTGTGTTGAGATGTAAAACTATGTTTAACTGTGTATTTGGAAGGGGACATGTTGTGTGAGTAGGTAAATGTGACTGTGTGTGCTTTTGTTCGTTGTGTTCCCCATCAAAGGGGGGAATAAATGGAACGCTTTGAATCAGATGACGTCCGTGATGTGTGAATGATCCTCCGGAAAAGGGAAGAGGCAGTGACTTTATTTAGTGGCGAGTCACATCCGCCACGTCACAGTGTTGTTAAACGGATACTTGTGGCTTTTTATAGGGAGAACGCTTGCCAGGCGTAATCCCACCGCATCCTGGAACACTACCGCCAAACCATTTGCTGGAACGGGATTTACCCGAACCACCCAGCTGGCACCATGAGGAGGTTGTTCGGCTAGCCAACATCACCATTTCGCCACTGGGCAGCGGTAGCGTTCCACCAGACCGCAGCGCCAAAATTTGAATTACGATATTGTACGCAAATGTATTAGTCTCGTCTATATGAGCATTTATTGTCCGATATATTACAATAAACAATAATTCTACCTTTGAAATGGTTTATTATGCGTATAATTAGAACATAATCCAGCGTTTAAAGCAAATAAGTGCTCCGTCGCGATAGGCAAGAAATAGTAAAAACCGGTTTTTCTGATGGATGTACGGCTGCCAACATGAAAAATGTGAGTGCACATGGCTGCATATAACTTAACAAGCATATATGCTGCACCCACAGCCAAAAGTTAGAAATTACTGCCGAAAACATAACTTATCTACGAAACTTTTGAAATCGGTTATTAAAACAAAAACATAATGATCTCGGTATTTTAAGAAAAATAATGCAATGTATCGTAGGGCAATATCCTAAAGTTCAATGCGCTTGTACAGCGAGAGCTTTTATGAAAATCCCTCACTTATCACCACCCAGATTGCACACTACTCTGGCAGCCACTGTGTTTACTTTTGTTATCTTCTATGCTACTGCTTGTGTAGCAGTAGCCTAACGAAACCTAATCGCGCGCCCAGCGGCAACATGAAGCCACCAGACGAATTCTGACCGCAGCAGACCAACACCATCATATTCCGATGACAGGTTCTGTGATCATTTCCGGTGACATGAATGTTCAAATAGGTCGCTTCCTGGACGCTAGTCAACGCTTGGGAGGCCATTCTGTCTTCATTACCTGCTAAGTGATCGATTTTTCTACTTGTGTCACCGCGATTGACAGCACAGACCTTCGCTTCGTGTCCACCGGACTCCATGTGGTGCCTTGCACCCAGCTTGACTGTATTGTTATCGACTGTGGATCACAGTAGTTTGTGTAAAATTATCCATGAATCTGGAGTGCATGCCTATATTCTCATTAGGCATCGTTACGCGCTCTCTTGATTCTTACATTCTCAGTCTCAGCTGGGTGTTTGTCTCCCAGTCTCCTGATAAACTCAATTCGTGACCCAATGTTGCCAATGCGGATTGACTTCTTAGCTGTCACTGAAAAACGAGTTGGATGGACATATTTTGAACTGTAGTCCTCTCCATGTCACCATGAGAAAGGCAATCGGAGTCATGTATCCGCGTAACTTCCAGGTTTCTACATTCTAGATTGCTTTCAAAGGTGTTGATCCGTTCTCTTGAAGCACACAGATGCCGAGTCCTGTTAGGATTCAGTCCGTTGTCCTACATGTCTTACGATTGGTCGCATGTGTTCGTGTGAGTTTCGAGAGCCTTTAAGATGATAAAGGTCGGTGCCACTTGGACGGGCAAGTATTGTTTCAACTCATCCAGAGCACATGGAGCCAATAGCTGCGAAGCAGACAATTGATCAAATTTTATGTACGCCAACCAGACAATTTCACTGAGAATTCTGAGGAGACTTTCTACAGCCATGCTACGATTCCATCATTATCTAAGTTAGCATGAGATGTCGAACTCTCGCCTTGATGGAGGTTCGACATGCAACGGAACCAGGTGTTTGAACCTGATAACCTTACTTCCTCGCTACCATGGGATGGTGCAAGTTCCCTAGCTGTTAGTCTGTCCTGCTTCACTCACCAACACCTGTTCGATAAAACTCATTAAGATTGTTCCCCACACCTCCACCAGTGGGGACATTTTGTTCCATCTGTCCCATATATTACTCGTATTATTCCTCAATCAGAATGCATTTCGACAGTTTGGATGATCGCGCAAAATGATGTCACATACCTACTAATAAGCGTATCCTTTGTTGGTTTTTGATGTGTAAACTGAGAGAATGCGCTTACCGAACGTTTACAATACCTGTGTGCGTGTCGCAACACATTCGGACGCGATGTGCCATATTTCTTTTGTGAGCTCACTGGGAGGCACTCTAATCGGATCGCTTGCGTGGTACCCCAACCCAGACTACAACACGGATCACCTACTAAGGCAGCTAAGATCAGGGCAAATCCTCTAAGCTCGGACCAGTGGTTTTTACTAGTTCTTACCAAATCGGCAAACTCTACCTGATGTAATTCATTTATTACAAGCTATTTGAACTCGCATGTGCTCAACAACGTGTCCTCCATACATGACTCCAATCACAGCATTAGTACTTTTGGCTTATCGCGTTATTTTTGGATGCCCTTGTACTCCAATCACTTGCTTCGCTTTAATGATTCTCTTTTGCGATTTGTTTTTAGGTTTATCCTCTTCCTCATCATTGTTTTTTCACCTGATTTCTTGCATTTTCTCATCTCTGGATATTATCCTAATTTCTCAGAATCTTTGTCACCCCGCCGGAGACGAGGAGACCAGAAGTGTGTCCAACGACTACATCCCACCACTGGACGGTAAGCAGTCTTTTATCTAGAGCATACCAGCTAAATTGAGCTCTACTCCAAGGAGCCCAGTAGACATGACCGTCTCGAACTCCGCGTTCGCATAGACCGCCGGCTTCTTCGATCGACACGCACTCCTTGTGTATAGCTCGAGATCAACCCGAAGTTCAAAATTATGTTGCATCATATTAATTTGCACTCCATCTGATTCGCCACAGCTGTCGCGACAAGTGAGGTTAAATTTGAGTTTTATACTTAAAAGCACTGCTATTTCCGCGTTCAACTTTCACGTTCTCATTGGGCTGTTCAAATTGATAGGACTTCCGATAAATTCCTTGTCCGAATAAGAATATCAGAAGACGAAAGTTATGGGTCGACACCGTCGTTTCATGTATACTCTTCGACCACATATATTTGCAACTAACAAGGATTCGAAATCAGTTCACACGAAATCAGTTGGTGGTCAAATGTTTTCCGGTTGGCGCGTTACACGCTGCCACGGTAGGCTTAGGGTCACTAACAGCTGCATTTGAACCCAGAGCGGTGGGCGCTGTCGATCTTTTTACTATTTGCTTCGAGCAGCTTGAGAATGTGAGGTCTTTTACTGCGTATGTAGACTAAAACTGATGCCACTCGCCTCTTCGTCTCAATAATACGACCAGTGCTAGAGGATGGCTCTCCCGCGTATTGTCCTATCACTCGGGGCGAGGTAGAAAAGATTGAGCGATTGCAGCATGTAGCCACCAGGTTGATTCCCAACTTACGAGGTGTGCTGTACGAAAACCGGTGTAAGAAACTAGGGCTGTACACCCTAGCTTATCGTCGAATGCAGGTTGACCTCATCATGACGCACTGGATATTACCTCGATTAGATTAGCCCATCTTGAGGCCACTGCTTCATCTGCGCACACCAAGCAGCACACGAGGACACCGGTACAAGCATGTCGTACCGGATTTGAAGCGGGTCGCTCACCAACTCTGTTTCGAACGCAGAGTGGTGAATGTATGGAACGACCTGCTGTAGCACGTAGTTGAGGCAAAGTCAGTGTCGGAATTTAAGCATTTCCTTGACAAACACTTTGCCGAAGCAAAGTATATTGAGCGGAACACAATATAACAGGTATTTTTCCATGAGTGACGATTGATGCAGCTACACAGAGCAAAATCCTTTTGCCGCTTCCAACCAGTAATTAGTAATCAGCATCCGGGTTTACCTGGTGACCGGTGCTCATCAAATGCCTCGCAATTCCTGAGGCAACTTTGCTTCTCTTTTCCCCCGATGCAGCCGTTGCCACCATCCAAAGTGATCGGTTCCGCAACCGTTTCGGTATTGGTATCCTCACATCCGTCTATAAACAGCGATCCCTTCACATGTGAATTCGAAATTTTAACATACGTAACCGAGTTAGCCTAGGCTGATGACATCGCTTTACTGGGTGACGACCCTTTCGGACTATGTGAGCCATTCTTAGTCACTGAACGGATTGAGGTATGTTAGTACGATATGTGCGTCACCTCTCGAAGTCTAGGCTGTTACTCCAGACTGGCACTTACCCGTTCCCCTGCTCACCCTTGAAGGCACCCAGGTTCACTAATTAGCTGACATTGGCCACCTGCGCGTCTGTGTTTGCCCTATTGAGAAAGAAACGTCTTTCTCTCCATTGCCACAGTTTAGTTGGCGCCTGTCAACTTATGGCCTATTTGGGCTTCTCCTTGTCCCCAATATACCAACTTTACAACTCCACTGTTCGACCAGGATGCATGGAAACGTAGTCCTTATCAGTTCGTATGCACCGTAGACAATAGGCGTTTGGTGTGAACACCGAGCTCACAGCGACAAAGTCAGGCTTCACGTCTTCTAAGATGCACTGCTTTTGGTACACCGATTTGACGACTCACACCACTTACTACACATGTCCCGTGAGCCTTTATACCCTCGTGTTCTCTTCGCCCGTGAATGGTTGAGCTGAAAAAGACGATATGTTTAACAGCATCCCCCACAAAGTCGGTTGCTTCACCTATAATCATCGCCATCGAATCCACACACACCTTTCTGGTTGGGAATCTACAGGCGATAAATCCCGATGGTTTCACACACTTGAATATGTCCACTTCGCGAGTAGATCTCTTCAATAAATTTTTATCAGACCATTACAATCATGCGAAGGGATCAGGTACGTGGTTGGTAAATTTATTATTTTTGCTTCGAACAAAGATATTTCCTTTGATTAGTTTGGCTTACTAGTGCACATCCATCATTGCATTTCACAGAGGAGATTGGAAGTGATGGGAAACGCGTTTTTGCGCATTTTGATAAAAAAAATTACAGAACGATGGTCTCTAGAGAAATGCTTTTCGGAAACCTTCTACGACTGGCACCACTCTGGCTCTCGCCCTCACTAATTTCAGATACAACGCTCACAAATATCATGGAAACGGATCAGACTGCACGGAAGCATCTTGGTGAAAGCCGTTTTCCATGACTACTACCGAGCGTATACTCTGTGGGCTTCCGCCAAAGTCTGAATGCATGGGCGAAAGCCGCTTTCCATGACTTACCGTCCTGCACTTCAGTTGGGTATATGTTCGTCCAATCCATGTGGGAGAGTGGCGTCCCACCGACCGTGTTTTGGCTCCGTATCGGCGATCGGCGCCTCGGTTGCTTTCCTGGAGATTTCCTTCCTTACAGTTTGTCCGCTAATTACTTCGCCACGACGCTTGTGAACATGAAAGATGTCCATCATAGGCTGTACCACGCCAGCCAGGACGTACCGAACTTTCCTCCTAACTGAATTTCACCAGGCATTTCTAATTTCGCAAGGCTTAGCATACCAATCTGTTTTGTGTGGGATTGCATTGTGGTTACATTTCCATCCTGACGCAACTGTTTCTGTCGGCCAGGTCAATCGGCACTTACTTGGATTAGCTTTTCTCTCAATGTGCCATGAGGATTGTGAGAGATAACACGATAATTTCCTTATAGTTCAATGAGTCAGGAGTCATTCTAATGGGACGCCAATCGTCGAACGTCACCGATTTATCCCCGCCACAGGTTATTCACTTATAACGCATTCCTGACTCACACTCCGAACTGAGTACGTCCGCCGACGCTGTTCAGGCCGACCGAATTAAGACAGCCCACCACGCGTTTGCTAGCTTCAGCAGTTGTTTCCTACAGCCAAACTCAGTCACATCCTAGAAAACCACTAGATTGTCGTTTCATGCTGTTAGAGTCCGTCGATGGTGCGCATTCAACCTGCACACTGAAGAACTAGGACTCACTGATATACCCTTTAACAGTATTGTTGGAGGTTATTTAACCACGGTGAATAGCAGTAATCGTTGTTACCAAGCAACCACCTGTGGTCTGATACCGCCCATCTTCCAGCTTGCTGAAGTCATGGGCGGCTACCAGGGACATGTATTCTACGACTGGCCATCCCACAACTTCGGAATCCAACTGGAGCGCTTTCTGATTTCTAGGCATTAATCGATGCAGCGAGAATTCGGATCGGTTCCCAGGCAGCTTCGTCGCAGTTATATTTAACCGTTGAATACTTGGTATTGACCTCCTTTGAAGAGCGTGTGAATTCCCTTTACCCCTTTGCTTTTTTAAACTCTTCTAGCTTGTCCGTATTATACTGAATGCTGAATACTGTATTATAGAGCAAGTAGAAATGAATTCTGTACAACTCTTTCGAAATATGGTGAAAAACGTTGTAACAGTTGTCAACCGTGAATATCGTTGTGGTTCTCATGTAACATTTAAAATATCTGACTTAGGGGTATTGCAGGACGCACAAATGTGAGATGTCATCGTAAGTGTGCAATCGTTCTCTGAATCGAATAGTGCTAAAATATAAATCTAACAACGTTTTGAACTGCTGCACAGATGTTGCCTCCATCACATGTTCAGGTATACTGTTCCAAATGTTTACCACTCTCCGTTCGAAGCACAGTGGGTGGGGAACACATTTCACATCCGGCACGACAAGTTTGTATCTGTGTCCACGTGTGCTGCATGGCCCTCGTGAGTGCAGCATTGGCCTTAGCATTGGAAAGTCACCGAGATGTAGAATACGGTAGGCCATAATGAGGTCGACTCGCATCCGACGGTAGGACAAGGTGTAGAGTACTAGTTTCTCGCACCGGTCTTCATACCCCAAGCCACGTAAACTCGGGCTGAGCCTGGTAGCAACGTATTGGACTCGTTCGATCTTTTGTACCTCGCCTCAGGTAATCGGAAAGTAGGCGGGCGAACCGTACTCTAGCATTGGTCTAATGATGGAGGAGAAGAGGCGAGTGGCAACCTCTTCAGACCATGTGCCGAAGCTACGTTTGAGCGCCCAAAGCATGCGCAGCCCGTTACGATATAGCCTATTCGTGTTGTCCACGGACCTCATATATATATATATATATATATATATATATATATATATATATATATATATATATATGCAAAGCTCTACGAATAGACATAATGCCATCAGAAACCATGGGATTCAAACGAAGGTACAGAAATAGTAAAGGAAAACACAACACAGCAATGTCCATGGTTTCGTCAGAGGGCGAGATACTACCCGGTTGCCCAAGCCGAAGTAGAGTGTTGACTTGGGTGACACCACCCCGTGCCTTTGGCTGAATAGCCTGTCCGCAAGGCAGCGGAGCGAATTCAGGGAATCGCGCCCATTGGGAGCAGGTGACTGATTGCTCAGTTCATGTGCCTTTCATTTGTTCCTTTGTCAAACAGGGGCCCAATGCTCCCCAGAAGTACAGCATAACGTTGCTGGAATGCAATGCTTCGCCAGGATGAAGCAAGGGGCAGTGACTTTATTTAGTGGCGAGTAACGTCCGCCACCACTTCACAGTGTTGTTAAACGGACATTTGTGGCTTTTTTAGGGAGAACGCTTGCCAGGCGGATAGCCACCATGTCGTGGAACACTGCCGCCGCACCATTTGCTGGAATGGGAATATCCCGAACCACCCAGCTGGCACCACGAGGAGGTTGTTTGGCAAGCCAGCCGTGCGCATTATATACTGGTCAATATGGATAGATCAGCCGCTGTGCAGTCGACCAGATCCTAAGGATGTTGTTCGAACTCTCTCTTACTGTCCGTCAAGGGACTGAGTGTTGCACACTAATCATCACTTCGTGAGCACTCGTTACTCGGCCGCGATTCCACACGACGTATGACGCTGTGACCCCCATCTGGTGTCCCTACAATAGCCGGTTCCGCTGCTTTAACCTGCTAGCTGCTATCACATCATTACCCATGCCCATATACACCAGTGATGGATTCCGATTGTCGTTTACTCGCGCTTCGAGACTCGATTTACTGCCGGAGGCTTTACTGAACAACAGTCCCATCCATGTGTGCGTCGACATTTTTGAACCATTGTATTATATTTTGCCCACCTTTTTAAGGCTATTAGGCTTAATATCAGCCGTGGTTTTTTTGAAGCACCCGCACTTCCTTTCACTTCAACATCAATCAACATGCTTCATCTGTATCTTTGTACTCCAGGATCCTTTTACAGCTCACAGTTGATATTTGATGTTCGAAAGTGTAGACACGCTGTTTACCTGTTCTGCATGATCACAATACTGCCAGTTTTTCTGTGTGTTTCCGCACTGCGACGATCGCTTAGTTTATCCTCTCTCTCTCTTCCCTTTTATTAGGTGACCATATTGTCCATCAGCCTCCATCGAATGCAACTTGGCCCCCTCCCGGGCGGCTTCACTCTAGTCCTTCCCGCTTGGTATTAGACACGGGGGATGGTGTGTCGCCTCGCTTCACTAACAATCCAGCTTCGGGCGCTGCGAAACAAACGGACCACTTGTCTTCCGAGTCCACTGCGTTGCAGAGCGCACTTCGATCGGGCTCTCATCATCACCCTGCAACTCTGTCCTCTGGAAAACAATGTAGTCCGGTCGATGAGACATTGCTGCATGAAATCCAGTCAGTGGAGTGAGTTTCATCCCATGGTTGTTGTGCTCCTGGATCTGACGAACTTAGTTGGGGCTCCAACTTCTCATCGAGTCGAAAACTTTGCGCCTTACATTAGACCCGAAAAACGACGAGTTCATTCGCGTTTGGTCATTGGTCTCTACAATGTTTATTACTCACTTCTAGCGATGCTGAGTTTCGGTACTGGCGTTTAATGACAAATCCTCTGACACTTCATCGCAATTAGATTACATGCAATATGGGCTACTTCTTAATCCGGCGAGACACCAGACTGCCTTTTCGCCCTATTGGGGCTCAGCAGTGGTGCTCATTCGCCCAGTCTCCTACAGGGAACCGAGCCCATGATTTCCAGAAGCTTTAACAACTAGCCAGCAGCTTATGCAATTGGTGATGATAGCTGACTGTCACGGAGGCGAAACGGCCAGTGCAAGTGAGCGGCTGACAGACTTGTTGCCATGACCGAATCGGAAGCTGATGAAATCTGACATCAGCCGTCACTTGCGTTGCTATGCCCCCGACAGAAAGCTGACGAAATCGCACCTCCTTTTCCCAGGCGTGCAATGCTGGGCTTGGCCTACCGGGCAGACAGTCAAGGACTAATCAGCTAGGCGGTGCAACAAGGATTTGTGGGTGTGTCCCATAAATATCAACCTACTTCGTACCCAATAGACACTAGTCGCTCGAGTTCGTATTCTGTTTTCCCGGACTAAATTGGACGCTTGAACATTCAACGAATGGGGCAAAACGCACGCGTTGAGGTCAAAAAGCAGGTCAAAAAGCAAGCACACGTCACTACCCGCAATCTTCGTGCTGCGGGAAGGCAGGTGAACGTCTTCACGATAGCAGAACACAAGGCAGAGGACAGAGGCGAGGCCTAGCGATTACAACACAGGCAACACAACTGAAGAGGTTAGTTACGTTCGACCACCGGTGCCTTCGCAATTTAGCTCACATCTGGTGGAAACACCGCGTGAGCAACGAGCGTGTTCGACGCCTTGTTTACGGCACAGGAAAAGGAACTGAACCGCTCAGCACCGTTATTTCACGCACCAGACTCCGATGGCTGGGCCACGTATTACGCATGCCAGCCCACCGACTCCCGCGGCGTGCGTTGTTTGCGCGCCGGGGGTGTGGATGGAAGAAGAGGAGGGGTGGCCAAGCGATGACTTGGTTCAGAGGAATGAAGGCCCTCAGTTCTGAGCTGGCCTCGGTTGGAACGTCTCGGCTCCCTGGTTGGGGTCCGAAAGACGATGAACTCGTTTGGTTGGACACACTTGCTGATATGGCTAGGAGCCGATCTCAGTGGCGTTCGTGCTGTGAGTTTCTTTGTCCCACCCCATCCCTCTTAGCCTCTTCCTCCAACCACGATCTCATTATTTAGCCTTATATAATTTTGCATAGTAATTTTTTTTATTCACAGTGGCCTGCTGGTAGCTTACCGGAACGATGCCCATCCGTTACGGGTAGCTCAGCCAGCTTGCACCAGTTGCATATTTTTCTCCTCTTTTTTCTATGTATTGTGGCACAGTAGCTGAGGTGTTCCCCACCTCTAGCTAACGTGTATGATGATGATGATGTATGATGATGAACACAACCGAACGTTGGGAGCGTTACAACACTGAACGTCATGGATTAAAATCTAACTGCGATATGACCCGACCCATCTTTCGCTGCCATGCAATCAGTGTAAGCTTTATGTACCCAAATGGGTACATTTTCAACATTTTACATCAACTGTAAATGCACCAAACGGGCAGCATCAAAGATGTTAAATTTCCAGTTGGTTAGAAAAATGAGATTGTTGCACTGTTATAACTCGATCGCGAAACGATCCCATAACGCTGAACTATGTCTTCGGGATTAGCATCACTCAGAATGAAACAGGTTTCAGTAAACCGTTTCTTCATAATTCGTTTCATTTGTCTCCGAATGCAATCGATCGGGGATCCTTCGCGATACGTCAACGTTTATAATCAAAACGTGGATAGAGTGGATTGGTCTCAGTTGATTGAATAAATATATGTTAGCTTATTCTAGCAACGCTGATACATGTACGGTAGATAATGTAAAAAAATGTTTGCCGAAGGGCAACGGCCAATTTAAAAAGACGCCGCCACGTGTGCAGGTTACTGTACGTGCGCAGGGCAGTGGTTGGCCCTCAGACGTCAGAACCTCCCTACCAGTGGTCATGAATCCACACAGTATTTTGATGACTGGTGGGACTAGTGTTTTTAATTCCTTATGAGTAGATGTATTTGTTAAAATTTATGTACTAATGGGTAGAGAACTTTGATGTAATTAATTGAGAGTTCATCGCAGCAGGTTCCAAATCAGATAGTCGTTCACATGCCCTGAAAAGCGTTAGACTGCAGTTTCAGCCTGTTAGGCATCATCAACGGTGCGCGTTCATCGGATCCGAACCCATGCCCACCATTGTCTTGCATCGCCAGTCAGCAGCTGATGCCATTGGGCCACAGGGGACGGTGTCGGACCGTCATGATTTACAAGTACACCAAAATATCTGCGCTAACAGTGTCTAAGTACTATGTCGTACATAGCTACTGTTAGTGGACGTCGTATCTTTCGGGGCCAACCCTGTCCTCTGCAACGTTCGTGACTTGCATGGAAGTGGAGGAGAAACGCGCTATATCGCAGTTAGCTTGTAAATGGTGACGGTCCGAAGCTGTACCCCGTGGCCCAGTGGCATAAGCTGCTGACTGGCGGTGCGAGCCACTGGTGGTCAAGGGTTCGAATCCTGATGAATCCGATGGACGCACACCATTGATGATGCCTAATGGGCTGCAACTGCAGTCTAGGGCTTTTCTGGACAGACAAATAAAATAGACATCAGCAAACGCCGGAACGCATTATCAACGCTTCTCTGCCGCTCAACCACCACCAGTCGTGCGTGGGCTAAGGTAACTGTGAGAGTTGCCCGGTCCCTACGCAGGCTCAAAATCGCGCCCTATTACAAGGCAGGCATGTGATCCTTAAGGCTACGAGCCGACGTTGGCGGGCATGTTGATGACTATCTGATTTGGAACCTACTGCGACGAAGTCTCAGTTAGAATTTGATTTTGCCTGTTTGATTGCCTGTTAAACTTCAACTACGTACACTGGCTATGTCGCATCCTTCTCATGTCCGCTAACTGGCTAACGTATCGCTTGATTGGGTGAATAACCGGGAAGCCTGGTATAGCGCCAGAGCACGGAGTATGCACTATGTCACTCTGTTGGGTGATGCTGCCTATGGGTCGGCCCTATCTACATGCACTGTTAAACGTGGTGTAGCTGCAGTCCTATGGACACCGCATTCACCCACTTATTTCCGACATTTTTAAGTTTACTGCTTCATCCCAGCTGCTCACAAGCCAGCTCAGTCTAACATCGATCCGAAAAGCACCAGACGATCGTTTCGCTCTTCTCTAACTTGTCAGTGGTCTGCATTCCCTCGATTGTCTGCTGGAGATCGAACCCAAGACCGTTAGCATCTTATGCCAACTAACCAGCAGCATATCCCACTGAGCCATGGGGACTATGATATACCGTCTGAAGTTGCATGCTACCTGGAATATAACGCAACCATTCGCACGTTACACAGTGACGTTTGCAATTTTCCTGGTTTGCGCTCTCTGCACAGTACTCATTCGACACGCCTCCATGCGTGCCTGTGAACACCGTTGTTATCCTAACACTCTGTGCCCTCGATTAAGCGATCAGTCCCCTGACTCCTCGAGCCCTGAAACGGATTTGCTTCCCCCGGTTACTCTGCCAAGTGAGGAGAGCAGTGTGCCACTGCGTAGGAAGATAACCACAGTTATCACCTTTGTCCCCCATAGCTGCGAACTACTGTCCCCCATTTTGTGTTTGATCATTTCAGATGCCTTCAGATCATTGATCACGTTTTGTAGCCACATACCCAACCTTCCGCATTGATTAAATCAAGACTTTCATGTCCCTACTGGACGTCTGTTTCGATACGCTCCATTAGCCATTACTTCTTATGGTTGAGTGAAGCGGCGAAGTGGACAATCCATGTATTGGCAAAAGGTATGGGAAAGTTGATTAGGAAACTTACTTCAGACAACAGTTGTCACTTTCTCGGATCGGGATCGATCTCTATCTTGTGTGGTCGTGGAGTCAATGGCACTGCCGCATCTTCTTCCCTCTATCTTCGGTTAATATTATCTCCTTTTATCGACCCATCTTTCCATCGTCTTTCCTCGCACGCCGCCGCTATCGTCGATTACTGTTGCCCTGGCAACTGGGTTCACTACATTCCAGTACTCTTCTCAAAATTCTCATTAAGCTGAACCGGTCATTTCTTTCATATCACGGTAACTGTTGTGCTGCCCTCCGAGAATCAAGAAGAAAGTCTGGGCTGCGATCATAAATGTTTAATAATAGGATTCGTAGTTATTTGCAGTGTACATAAGGTATTTCGGTGTTGTTCCCTCACTAACTGGTCCTTGTTAGCCGGCCTGTAACCTCAGCTACATCCCATTGGTTTGGGCCCGTTCTCCATACATTCCGATCCACGCTTACTGAGGTCATGGTTACGTTGGACTTGGGTGTTGCCCGGCGGCGTCTGATTGTCCGTCCGCCCATTTAATCGATGATCCCACGGTTGCCTATCTGTCATGACTGTGTGCCATCCTCTCGCCGTTTAGCCGACAAATCCGCTTTCCAAAGGCGTGCTGCGCTGGACCGGATCAGTCAGCCATGCTCGGCTTTCCTCTGATTGGACCCCAGTCCATCGGTACCGCATCAGTTCCGTTAGCTTCACATCTCAACCGCCATCACAGTAACAGAGGAGCAAACAAATACGCCGATTATTTAGGGGTTTCGATGTTGCTTCTCCCAACATCGTCACCCCGCGACCGACTGTTTCTTCCTCGTTTGTACTCGTTTAGTAGTGGAACTCAGAACGGAATGGTTAACGGGTGACGCCTTAATTACTGTGCTACTACGATCCGTTAGCAATGATTGGTATACTGATAAGAAATTCAAAGTTGGCTTTGGAGTACCACAACTGTGTAGTAATTTGCGACACAAATTCCTTATTCAGATCTTGGTTTATTGTAAAATTTCTGTCGTACCTACAGCGTAATCAGACACATGCACATGCCTACACTCGCCGTCTGAGGCTGTCGAATTGTCTGCGATAGCAATGCACCTATCTTACTACTCGGTCGCGGATTGCCAAATAAATGTACCCTATTCTCATTACCGAGTTTAACTTTTGTGACAGATGATCTGCAACAAATGTGATGACTTCTTAGTAGGGGCCTTAATGAGATTGATGAAACTAGTGCTTTGGAGGGATTTCCACCCTACCTATTGCCGTTTCGCGTATACTCGTTTGTATTCCTAAAAAGGTGGAGTTCTTAAACGCGGCATTACAAGCCACCCCTTAAATAGCCTTCTATCCATCACTGTGGCTCCCTAAGCAACAGTCAGATAACCGATTGCTTGACCGTCGACATCGATGAAATAAAATCTCTTGGAAAAGCCAATCACATTAACGAGGAAACGATTTAAGTCAATAATGTTCCACATAAACATCACTTCGTTCCAGGAGAATTGAAGTCTATCACTCGACGCTCACACCTGCTTCCTCAGTGGTTTGTTCCGTTCGAACTACGTTTTTCGGAAGCTGAGGCTTTTGGGATTGATTTCAGTAGCCGCCTCGTCAACGCGCGTCTGCATCAAGGCTGTGATTTCTGACTTTGGTTATGATTGTGCGCCCGCAGGGAATGTGTTCGTTTCAGCCGGAATCGCTGAAACAATATCTAACAGTTCTTGGCCCACTGGTCATCCGGTGTCTTCAGCTTCGTTTCGCATGATAATGAGACTACCATAGTTCCGTCCACGACTACTTCTTTCGTTATTGATTATTTCATTTGTGCCAATACCACTCAGAAGTAAGACCTCTTGTTCGGATGCCCTCCTCTCACTCTCTTGCCCAGAACTGTCAGCGGTGGCTCCCGCGGTACTCAATGCAACCGGTTCTCACCCACCCATCCGAGTGCTTTGGACAAGCCAGATCGCCCGTTGCTGAGAGGCCGTTCCGGTTTAAATGCTCAGGCTGCTTGTCCAAGTCTACAACAGGCTCTTCAACTCATTAGCTCGGAGGATTGGGAAGCCAAAGTGTCCGGGTTGGAGGCTATCGCTCAGATTGCCTTGAATAAGCCGTCCACCTTCTGTGCTACCGTCAATGATAATCACACCGGGAGTTCCGGATCATCTTGTACTCCCGGACGATCGGCACAATTTCTTAACCCAACTGAAGCTTTGAATCAAGCGGTACAAGCCGTGATCACTGAGTGTCGTAATTTGCGATCTCAGGTCAGTCTTTTTACCTCGGTCTAATTTATACGTATTTCTCCATAGCCTTTGTCTTCTCGACATCGACATCTCATCCCATATTCTTCTTGAGTCTTTTTACCATCCAGCTTTACTCTCCTCACAGGTATCGCGACAGGCTGTTCACACACTGAGCGGCCTGTTTCATGAATTAGGCCGAAACATGGATCCACATGTCGAGTCGTCTGTCCGGATACTGCTGGGGAAAACAGGAGAAGCCGCAGCCGTGTTTCTCCGTGATGAGGTAGCTGTGGCTATGAATGAATTGGCGCACGCAGCCAATCCTTCTAAAGTTTTGGTCGCTTTGTTGCAACACGGACTAGGGTGAGTTTGCCGTCTGAATGTTTGTTCGAAACACTCCGTTCTGCTGGATTTCACGCTGCGTTTGATTTTTGCAATACTCTTTCTTCACTACATAGCCACAAGAACGCCGCTGTTCGGTTAAAGACAGCGCTCCACATCTCACAACTGGTGGAATCTGTGAGCCATGTAGACCCCCCGTCTCAGGGCACTAGGACTACCCGCACATCGCGGCGAGAGCAACCTTTTGGATCGATGTCCACCTCTCAGCGCTCCTCTTCAACTAGCGCTTCCCAACTGACCGCCAACATGCCTGCGCCAGCTGTCATTTCGGGACTGATGGACCGCCTTGTAACTGCTCTCAGCCAATTCCTAACTGATGGTAACCAAGAAACCCGGTTAGTCATATCTAAACTTTTTTAACTGTTTTGTTCCTGACGCAGTAGTGTTTTTGCTTTTTTTCATGTCATACCGCTCGACCTACTGACGCGCTTGACACGGGCATCCTATCCTATTTAGGGACTCCGTGGAGTTGAATTTTAAAAGCTTTACTCCTTCATCCTACTGTGGTTACCTCGAAAACACTGTACTCGGTGCTGAAGTCAAAAGGTAAAATTTCCTTAGCGGTCCCTTCGCTGCGTGAATTGACACAGTGTTAGCCAGAATGAAGACACTCTATTGGGCACTCTAGTGAGATTTCCTTCCTGATGCCTGTGGCATTGCACTCCCATAATGGCTTGCCGCATATTCAACATGGTTACGCCATTGCATCTTTTACATGGCCGACGTGACTTATTTTGGCATCTTGATGTGCTTGAGAGGTGCATAAATACCTACTCTCTTGACATCCAGACTGTGCCTTCAATGTACTGGTGTTGAGAGTTGACCTCCATGAAACTGATATTGCCATTGTATTTTATCTCTATATATTGCGGCGCAACCGTTAAAGTGTGATGATGATGACGACGACGACGATGATGATGTTGATGTTGATGACCCACTAAGCAAAAGTACGGGTAAGGCATTGTTAGTGTGAACATACCGAAAGCATCAGACACGCACATACCTGTTGGAATTTTTCATAAACGTTCTAATTGATTCGTTGCTAGTATCACCATAACGGATAATCGCTGAGGGAATGAAAGTCCGCAGGACCAACAGCTAGTTGTACGCAACAAGCGGACAGGAACCATCAATTGTCTGGCTTGTTCTCTTAATCCCGCAGTCTGGTGGCCTTAAGTGAACGGATCCGGTATAGCTTGCGGGGGTCAATAACACCATTCATTCCTTACATATGAACGTCTGGCGCACTTAATCACTTTCCACACTAACAATGCGATGGCACCCTGATCTGTGCCAGCGAGCACCCTCCGATTCACGTCTGTCCCAGTGAACTTAGCATCCCAATTTATTTAGAAAGTCCTGTAGTAATTATACGCTGTTTCACTTAATTCGGCGGTTTTTGTAGTAGGATACGTCACTAAGCAGACACCGGTTATTTCCTAACAATTCGAAGTCCACGAATGTGCTAATTAATTTCACTCTTTTGGTAAGCTTCCTTCTCACCCACAACCAAGCACTCTACTCTACTACTTCAGTTCACGACGGATTTGCAATTTCGCCTTTGGTGATGTTAGATCGCATTCACAGGGGAAGACTTAGAAGCTGCGGAGCTGCTTACTGGCGAACAACTTCTTGATTTGTTATATGCTGACGATATTGCCCTAATCTGTGACATCTCCCCAACGTGCCAAACATCACTGGACAGATTAGCACTGGCTGTGCGTCACTTCGGGCTTTGCTTTGCACCCTCGAAGTGCAAAACATTCCTTCAAGGTTAGCTGTGACCCACCCCTGCGCTCACCCTTGGTGGGAATCAGCTGGAAGTCGTTCAAAAATTCAACTACCTGGTAATTGTAACAGCGCCCTTGGGATCCAACACCTGCTCACTAACCGTATAACAAGTTCGCTACACTTTTGATAAACTTCGCTGCCTATGGCGCCGGTGCGACATCTCTTTGCTTGAAGGGTATAGTGTACATTGCAGCCGTCCGTTCAGCTCTCTTTAAGGTTGGAAAAACTTGGTCCATCAGGTCGACAGACATATAGAGACTCGCCACATTCGACCATCGCTTCCTTCGCAGGTTAGCTCATGTCTGGTGATAGCACCGCGTGACCAATGCGTGTTCGGCGTCGCATATTTGGTGCAGGAAGAGCGAATGAACCGCTCAACACCGTTATTTCACGCACCAGTCTCCGGTCGCTCGACCACGTGTTGCGCATGCCAACACACTGACCCCTGCGACGTGCGTTGTTTGCGCGCCGTGGATGTGGATGGAAGAAGAGGAGGCGTAGCCAAGCAATGAAATCCCTTACTTCGATGTTGGCCTCGATTGGAGCCTCTAGAGCGCCTGGTTAGAGACCGAAGACGTGAAACACATTTTGCTGGACACACTTGCTGGCATGGGTAAGGGCCGATCTCAATGGCGTCCGTGCTGTGAGCTTTTTTGTCTCTCCCCATCCCGTTTAGCTCCCCCCCTCTAATCGCGATCTCAAATCTTAGCATAATACAAATTTTTCTTTCATACAATTTTTTGCTGCATATTAGCCGGTTGGTAGCTTTCCGGAACGATCCCCACCCGTTACTGGTATCTAAGCTGGCTTGCACTTGTATTACGTTTTCTTTTTTATTATATATTGCGGCACAGTAGCTCAGGTGTTTTCCACCTCTAACCAACTTGTATAATGATAATAATGCTGTTAGGTCCTCACCATGGATCCCAGCCTAGTGGCACTGAATGAGGCAAAAGCATTTCCCCTGTTTTTTTTCTTCTGTGGATGCAGTGACCGCACTGCCCAGTCAGTGATCAGCAGTACGCCGGCACACTGTACCGAAGCTTCCCTGTCCTGCGACCACTACCGGTCGCGGAGACGACATCTCCACAATGGTACTTCTCTGGATCACGTGTGCGGAAAGTGTCACGTTATTTGCGTCTTGTGCCACCATCAAACATCGGCATAAATAGAGTACATAGTGTGCTTCCTGATGCGCGAACTCTTTACATCTGTACTGGACCGCGTCACTAAACTCCCGGTTTACATGTTGTTTCTCTTCACTTTCCAGCTACTACGGTCGTCGACTTTTGAACTCACTGATGCACTACTCCGATTTTGAGCGGTCGGTACGCAAACACCTGAGCGGTCAGATGTTACGAGTTGTCCACGAAGCTATGGATCAGCTACAAACCAAAGTAAGAGCCTACACGTCTCCCCACAGGGGAACTATCTCACGTAATCTCCTGTCTGGATATTTTTCACTTTTATCATAAACGCCTTTTCGGAGCCTAGTGAGCTCATAAGGCTTTTGGATGTCGCACAGTTCCTCATTCTACGTCTTCGCATCACTCATCGTATTCGCGAGTGAATTTCTTTTTGGACACAGCTCGTCTCGCATTGAGATTCCTCGTCCACTCACGCTTTGCGCTCTCCACACCGGGATCGTGTGTTACCCACTCTGTGACACTTTTGGTCCACCAGACTGGTCGCATTACTTCCAAGAGTTTAGCCGTTGGAACCCCCCCCCACCAATTTTTAGTACCGGTTCGGGTCATCTAACGCCATCCGGCACACATGCAACGGTAGCGGATCTCGGTATACCGTAACAACTTTTATACCGCTCTGTTTTGTTGCCCAAATGCTGTTGAATGCACGACAAACTGTAGCCTGAGGTTGCTTAACGTGTACAAGCTTATGAGTAATGTGAATTCCATTGGATTGCGTCTGCTCAATCTGACTTGCAAGTTACTGTGAAGAAACCTCCACCAATTGTGTCAACAACGGGGTCCTCACTCACAATGTTTTTTCTCCGTTACCTAAGTAACATATCGTTTCTAGTACACCTTATTTGCCGTATTTCTTTAATCTTGCATCCAACGCTGGACTGAATGCGGCAGTACGAGGCAGTAAAATTTAAATCTGCACATCTCCATCGGGACATGATCAAAGTATCTCACCTGTTGCTACTCTAATCGCTCTTCGTTCTTACGGGTTATCCGGATAATGCCTGACTCACAGTATTATCAACCTCACTAATGTACGATGTAATTGTCAGTGTACAATCGTTCTCTGAATCGAATTGTAATGAAAAGCGAATCCAACATCGTTTTGAGCTGTTGCATAGATGTGGCCCGAGGTGGAAAGAAGTTGACTTGTCACCGGGAAACTAACTCACTGATGACCCTACTCACTACCGTCGGTCCGTCTCTCCTTTCAGAGTGGAGTCCACGTGACTCGCCTTGTGCTTGAATGGAGACTTTATAGCACATGGTTTGCAGTCGACACCAGTAGCGCGCCTGCTGCCGTCTCCTAGTCGCACTGCCTGTTTAACATGTGTTTTAGTGCTGCTATCTGCGGAGTAATGGCTGATTATAACGCGGGGCACGACAGCCAGCTGTTTTTGATGATATGTTGTTGTTGTTGTAGTTGCCCTGAACATTTAGTTAAGGCATTAAGGTTTTCCGATGATGACGACGACGAGATCGCCTCACAATCGACGATAGGACAGCGTGTTGGGTCTTAGTTTCTCGCATTGATCTTCTTACGTAAAGCTCTGTGAACTTGAAATGAGCTTGGTAACGACGTGTTGGACTGCTTTCATTCTGTTCGCCTCGCTTTGGGTGATCGGACAGTAGTGAAACATTCGAGAGCAACTTTATTCCCCAAAAATTGAGCAAATTTCATATGGTAGAAATCGAATACTGCGCTTTTCTGACAGTACTTTCAAATATCCCGTAGTAGACATTGCTCAATGATGAACTGATCCAATTTCATTAGTCTGAACCTCGAGTTAATGGGGAAATTCCATAGCAGTGGTTTGTAATCGCGGTGCACCAGTTAACCGCATGATGCGAATAAGTAAATGGCACTTTCTAGTTTTTAATATGGGTTGTTTCACGTAAGTGAAAAGTGAATTTCGCATTTGCAGCTATTCATGTAGTGGTGAGTGGGTAACGATGAAAAATCACAACTTTGTTATCCATACCATGCAATCCGATAAAGACTACAGTGTATGATACTAAAACAATGTATTTCTTGCGAATGACTGGAAGACGCGATTCCTAGCGTTGGGTCGTGACATAGATGTAAATATATCAATCAGCCCTCCATCAGCGTGACTGCCTTGGAATTTAAAGCAAGATAAGCCTGTCTGTCATGCGCTTACATGTGACTATTTTTTCTAGCTTGGAATTTATCCAACTGCTTTTGTTTGGATGACACTTATTGGACATACCTTTTTGGAAAATCTTCGTAGTTAGCGATTTGTTTCCTTCAGCTATCGCTGTCAGTGACCTTTGTTTAAACAAATCAATACTCAAAGATTTGGAACAAACTTCCAAGTGATATCAGAACATGCTATACGCTTTGCAATTTTAAGCTTGCTATTAGTAAGCATTTAACCGTCCAAAACGTGATTAAGATGTTCGGGACATCACAGTCCCTAGATAACGCATTCGAAAACGGTATCCATGGTGCCTGAATAAATTTCTGAAACACATACACATAACATCTCGGACAACAGCCCCTTTCATTACATTTTTTTCTCTCGGCCCAAATATCTATCATGTGATTGTAAAGCATCCTGATTCAGTGGCAGGTAAAAATAGCAGAACGATTCTGATTACTCTGTGTAACATAATTTGCAATTGCATCCATGTTTTTCTCTGAAAATGTATTGATGAAATGTCATGGAAAAGTTGTACCATTATTTGATCTGTTCCTTATAGAGAACAGCTTCTCGCATAGTCGAGGAATATACAATTTATTTATTTATTTATTTATTTATTTATTTATTTATTGACTGCTTGTGGTCGTTGTTTCTGCCCTCGGATTGCGGTCCCCCTCAGTTGCTAACACTCTTTTCATTCGTTGCATGCCACTTATTGGTTCGTTTGCTGAGCATCTTCATTGGCTTCATTCGGCTTGCATGCTTTTAGCAATATGGTTTGACTGAAATGCCTGTTAGTAGCTTCCCTTCAGTCCATTCTTAAAACCATCTAAACAGACATAATGTATACAAGTCTTACCCGGATAGTCATTGGAGTTTTTCTTATAGTCGTGCGGTGAAGGTGTCGGCTACGACACAACAGTATTTTTCGTTGTTCTCTAATAAACGGATTTTTTGTTATCTTATCCCTAAATGTATTGGTTCAGTTATTTGGGGACTACTAATTTTACAATAAATTCCCTCGTCTCCTTTGCATGTTTTCGACACTTTAGAGTTTCACGAGACGAATACGAGGGTTAAGGGGGCTGTCCGTTAGTTTTTATTTTACATCTCCCCACCGCATTGTTGTTCTACGGTGGGATTGTGAGATTCTGCTCCGTTCTGTGCAACGGGAAATTATCTCGCTCCCCGAACTTCGAATCACTCAGTGATAACAAGACACCGAAATGATCCAGCTATAACTAAATTGATACAACATTCCTACAGCAAAAGGCCCATCCATTGCACAGTATGTCACGGCTTCTCGGAACAAATGACAGTTACAAAGAAGGCACCTTCCGGTAAAGTCGCAATTCATGAGGCTAGGTAAGTATGAGCAAAGTCGAACCTACACAGTGGCTGGTCAACCGTCGCATCCCGCGCCTTTCGTGCGCGAACTCGGTGTACTCTCACGCCACGACCTAAAGTCCATGGATCACACGAATAGGCTTTACCAAAACAGCCTTCGTATGCTTTGGGCGCTCAGGCGCAGTTTCAGCACTTGGTCCGAAGTGATTGCCACTCGCCTCTTCGTCTCAATAATACGACCAATGCTACAGTATGGCTCTCCCACTTATTGTCCTATCACCCGGGGCGAGGTAGAAAACATTGAGCGAGTGCAGCATATAGCCACCAGGCTGATTCCCAACTTGCGAGCTGTGCCGTTCAAAGACAGGTGTAAGGAACTAGGGCTGTACACCCTAGATTATCGTCGACTGAGGGTTGACCTCATCATGACTCACCGGATAGTACATCGAGTAGATTACCCCATGTTGAGACCACTGCTTCATATGCGCACACCAAGCTACACGCGGGGACACCGGTACAAGCTTGTTGTACCGGATTTGAAGCGGGTCGCTCACCAACTCTGTTTCGAACGCAGAGTGGTGAATTTATGGAACGACCTGCCGCAGCAAGTAGTTGCAGCAAAGTCAGTGTCGGAATTTAAGGAGATCCTTGACAAACACTTTCCTGACGCAAAATATATTGAGCGGAACACAACCTAACGGGTATTTGTCCATGAGTGAAGATTGATGCAGCTACACAGAGCAAGCTCTATTCGCTGCTTCTAACGAGTAATCAGTAGTCATATTGTCCAGATTTACTTCGTATGAAAAGACTGTAGCTTTCTTCGCGTACAACCCTTTGACACGTGTACATTACTTTGATCGTAGGAGCACCGTGCCGGTATTCGATCTCTTTTATTGTTGTCATTTTAGTTCCCATTTATTTGCGTTAACTTTATCAGATTGGCCCCTTACTCTCGGCTACTCTCCAAATTCTCTCCGAAGAGCAATTTTGCAACTTTAAGCTTCTTCATAAATAATGGCGCCAATGGAAATCAGTTAGCAGGGAACTATCGGGGTGTCTTGCTGGTTGCATGATGCGGAGCACCTCGGAGGGACAATGGGCCATGCTCAAGGGAAAAGGAGACATCGTGCGAGGTGCCATAGTTTTTATCCACTTTCTCTAAATGTTTGCATAGGTAGATACAGACCCATACAACACATGAGTAGCCTTTACTGACCATGTTCCAAGTGTTGTTCTACGAACTATCTCCACTAAGTAGATGTTCCTAGCTCAATCATTCGCGCTCCTTTCCATGAGGTTATGAGCAGTTCCAGTTATGTTGTTTTTATTCTACCATGCTCCATGCGCGATTAAGTACAAACCAACGACCTTGTTATACAACCGCCCCTCGATGGCATGCCATGCGGTAATGGAACCAGTACTTTTGACAGTAATACTCACGGTTGGTAATCTCCTGATGGGGTTACTGGTATAACGGTGGATACACACGGCTGGAGTCGCATACCATAAATGAACGATTTTGAAGTGGTTGCTTGAACGCTCTTACTGTCCTCCAGGCGCTTTAGCTCTTCATTAACATGGAAGACCGCCCAGGCGTGGACTATTCCCCGTAGAAATCGCCCGTCTGGACACATGTCTAGCTCCTCTACTTAGTAAGCGGCAATTTTACCGTGAGTATCGGCCTCCAGCTGCATTGGATGAAGAATATTACCTGTCTCTTTTTCTCTTGATAGAATTCCATGTTGTTAGCCGCACGTTCTAGAACCATTGTACCTCTACGTCTATAGATCATCTGTTTGATCATCGCCTGTCTATCTACGATTGCAGCCCACAAATAACCACGCTCCTACAGTATGTTGTGAACTGTCTTCCATGTAATGAATGCATTCAGCTTCCGCATGCTTCGATCATTCCAACACAGTGTATGCACTTGATCCGAAGAGAATGTCACTCATTTATACTCTCTGATACAACATTGCCAATGCTCAATTACACTGCATCCATCGATTATCCGGTCACCCGGGGCAAGAAACAAAATTTATATGTGTTCAGCATAGCATACATACCACGCTCATCCCCAGTTTTCGGTGTATATCCTAGGAAGACCGATAGAAAAGACTAGAGCTGTACATCTTCTCCTCTCATGGGTTTCGGGTAGACCACATAAAATAACCTACCGGATATTAAATCCGCGCCACTTCCCTGCGCTGAGGCGGCCGCCCCACTTTCGAACACCATGCGGCAGTCGCGATCACTTCTACACGTTTGTAACACCGCATCTGAAGTGAACAGCTTGTCTATGCCTATTGATGCTGGAGACAATAGTCTCGGCGAAATCTCTCGAAATTCTAGAACTTCCTTGATGCCCACTTTGCAGGTTTCATGTTTCGATAGCGTATCGTACTTGAATGGGATATTGAGCTGCTATTACATGCTGATAATGTGCGGTCCTAAAAGTGTCGTTATTCGTCTTGTGTGTCTAGAGACATTCAGATGAAGTTCCATATGTATACTATTCAGTATTCTTGACGTTTTTATCTTCTGACTAACCGTTATTTTACTTCTGACCCCATCTGTTAAGTGAAAAGTTCGGATCACCATCCTGCTGAGTGAATACCCACCTTTAATGCAGAGTTTCTTCTTTCAGGGTGTTGGTGAATTTCCAAGGGCCTCCGCCGGTGTTCGTCGCGGTGGCTACTCACCCGCTTCCAATCAACGGTTACCACGTGGCTCCAGTGTAGGAAGGCCACCGTGCTCCTAACACTTGGAAGCATTGAACTTCGTCGCCCACACACACTTTCATGCCCAAGTGCCTATTGTCTTTTTACATATCAACACCACACTGGTTTCATATCCGAATCCGTACTGGAAGCAAGATCCCCTTTGTGAACTTATGCTTTATCTCATTTCCACATATTTTTCACCCTGTTCAGTGATAGCCTCAATTCCCTCCCCTCACCTAACGCTATCCTTCGGGCAATTCCATGTGATTGCGCTCATACCTCCATCGTTCTCTTATGGTACAGCCACGCCACAAACCGGAGCCTAACACACACACACACTCACTCATAAACTTTCCTTTTTGTTCACACGCACGCTATTTGACTAGCCGCCAACTGCAATGCCGATCTGTACCATTCTCCAACTAGATTTATTCCGTGAACAGGTTCACTTCCTCTGGCTCTTTCTGCACACCTCTGCCCCTCGCGTCACTTGACTGTGATCCATCGATGTGTTTGACCAGATCATCGTAGTTATATTCTACATGCGTTTTGCACCTTAGTATCCCAACACTTTAGCTACACCCATTCAGATGTGTCCAGGCGTCAATCGCTCGTTTTGCCTCGCCTTCCACTCAAGCGCACTTCAACTCAGAATGAATATAACACTTTATTTTTTTTCTGAACTGCGTTTTCCTCATTACCTCGAACGAAGCGAATTCAGTGCGTTGAGAATGGTATGTAATGTGCGAATGTGTGCATAACTATGGGTGGCTTTCATTGTCGGGGGGTGCACCTGGTAAAACCTCGCAGGGCCTATCAGTGTCTAAACATTTGTCCGCAGATGCCTGGTTACTTTAATGTGGACTATTGATGTTTGATCTTTGAACGGGCTGATGAAGAATGTACGCTTTCTTTTCTGATCTGGTCATATATCATGGCTAGATTTCTGTGTGTGTCAGGTTTGGTCGGCGTTGCACCCAGTCGATGGTAGCCAGTCTGCGGCCAACCATGTCATCGTAGAAGAAGCAATTATGGGGTAATCTTGGTCCGCCGTCGTTCAACACGCAACTCTTTTCCCGCAATCGGGCATTTGAACCCACACACTTATCCGCTGGTACTCCGCCACCGAAGTTTTATTTCGAACGCCATCCACATTGTGTCTTTTCAAAGCTTCTGCGCATCTGTTTACTGTACGGACTCGGGTTCACTGCCGGGAGTCGTGTAACATAACAGCTTGAATCCCTTCGGAGACGTGCAACCAGTCAACTCGAAGTTGTCCTATCGCTTGGCGTACTTTTTACCTATTCACCGTAGTGCTATCCAATTATCGTCGATCGAGGTCACCGGTTCGATTCTGCGTAGATACGGGTGACCTGGCGGTATACGTAACCCTCGTACGAATGCTAGTAGTCGCTTGGAAGCAAAGCATCGATACAGTCAAAGCACGATTTATGCATTCGTTTAAGAATATTTTCGGCAATTTCTACTTACACTGCAAACAGTTTGCAATTTTGAATCGGTGGGAACATGATGCGAAGTGACAAGATAAACAAAAAGTAAACAAATGTTCTCGCCATGTTTGCGCCGTCACTTTGGGGTTGATTAACAAGCGAGATAGACAAGGCAAGATGGGGTTGCGATACGATGAGTTACGGGCAAATGCAACTTTAACTCTCGATCGCGTGGAAGAAATGGTAGTCATACTTACTAAAACAATGCGTCGGTGGTGAGAGGGGTCTTTTAGAATCTTAACTGAAAAGTTAAAACATGCGCCTGCTTGATTTCTAAAGCACACAATCTACGGAGACTTCAGTGCTTATTCCATGGCATCGAGAAATACATTTTAGCAGTCACACAATAAGAGCATAATCCCATTGAAGAAGTCCTGGGAAAATCGCAAGGGAGCATTCTATATATATATATATATATATATATATATATATATATATATATATATATATATATATATATATATATATATATATATATATATATTCCCCATGCTGAGGCTGATGTTGCATTGTTGATGCTTCTTCACCGCAGTTGGGCTAAACCAACTTACACTTAAACTAGGTCTTTTTAAGCTGGCTAAATTTCATTCCGCTTTATTTGGTTTGTTCTGCCTCCCTGAATAATGTTCTATTAACTGGCCACGTTGCTTACACTAATTGCGCTTATCTTCGGTAATTTTGTTGCGTTTGTAGCATTTTAAGTAACTTGTGGACATTTCTTACTTATCACGGATTTGTTGCTGACCAACTTACTTCATATGGTAATTTAGCGAAGAGTTATGCCACCGTATCTGTATGCATTATTGGATTTATTTAATTTCAGCTTGTCGTTTAAAGTGAATGGCTGTAGTTTGCTATCCCTGTTATGGTTGCGCTTGATGTGTATGTTGACAAGGTGCCTACCTGTCTATTACCCACTACATCGTTCATACTGGCTCCAGGAGACAGTTGGTCGTTGCTGGAGGGGACGGGGTGCAAGGTTCTTGTGGCCGTGCTAGGCTCAAAGAGCGGTTCCATGCACTCAGTGTGGAGCGGACTACGGTCCAGCCACCGCCTTGTGTGCGCTTGATTCCCCAAATACAGCGTGCTTGTGTTTGCCTGTGAAGGAGTGTGGGCCGGCTCCGTTGATGAAACGTGGTTCCCATCCGCATGCCTCCCGGTCTTATTCCTTCGGGTTTACACTGGATATGGGGTATGTGGTTGGAGCTGTGGGTGGTGCAGCGCAAGCCATCCATGGTCCCTCTGTAGGCGCCGGCGTCCTGTGGCTTGCCACAGTGACAGGCAAATCCGAAACCGGATGCCGCCAACCATGTATGTATGTATGTATGTTTGTTTTTTTGTATGTATGTGTGTGCCCTATGCTGAGGCTGATGTTGCATTCTTGATGCTTCTTCACCGCAGTTGGGCTAAACCAACTTACACTTAAACTAGGTCTTTTTCAGCTGGATAAATTTCATTCCGCTTTATTTGGTTTGTTCTGCCTCCCTGAATAATGTTCTATTAACTGGCCACGTTGCTTACACTAATTGCGCTTATCTTCGGTAATTTTGTTGCGTTTGTAGCATTTTAAGTAACTTGTGGACATTTCTTACTTATCACGGATTTGTTGCTAACCAAATTACTTCATATGGTAAATTATCGAAGAGTTATGCCACCGTATCTGTATGCATTATTGGATTTATTTTATTTCAGCTTGTCGTTTAAAGTGAATGGCTGTTGTTTGATATCCCTGGTATGGTTGCGCTTGATGTGTATGTTGACAAGGTGCCTACCTGTCTATTACCCACTACATCGTTCATACTGGCTCCAGGAGACAGTTGGTCGTTGCTGGAGGGGACGGGGTGCACGGTTCTTGTGGCCGTGCTAGGCTCAAAGAGCGGTTCCATGCACTCAGTGTGGAGCGGACTACGGTCCAGCCACCGCCTTGTGTGCGGTTGATTCCCCAAATACAGCGTGCTTGTGTTTGCCTGTGAAGGAGTGTGGGCCGGCTCCGTTGATGAAACGTGGTTCCCATCCGCATGCCTCCCGGTCTTATTCCTTCGGGTTTACACTGGATATGGGGTATGTGGTTGGAGCTGTGGGTGGTGCAGCGCAAGCCATCCATGGTCCCTCTGTAGGCGCAGGCGTCCTGTGGCTTGCCACAGTGACAGGCAAATCCGAAACCGGATGCCGCCAACCATATATATATATATATATATATATATATATATATATATATATATACCCTTGGCGATCTCCGGTTTCAGATTTGCCTGTCACTGTGGCTAGCCACCGTACGCCTGCGCCTACAGAGGGACCATGGATGGCTTGCGCTGCACCACCCACACCTCCATTCACAAACCTCATATCCAATATAAACCCGAAGAAATAAGACCGGGAAGCATGTGGATGGAGCCACGTTTCATCAACGGAGCCGGCCCACACTCCTTCACAAGCAAACACAAACACGCTGTATTTGAGAATCAATCGCACGCAAAGCGGTGGCTGGACCGTAGTCCGCTCCACACTGAGTGCATGGAACCACTTTTCGAACGGAGCACAACCACAGGGACCGTGCATCCCGTCCCCTGCAACAACGACCAACTATCTTCTAGAGCAAATATGGATGAGGTAGTGGGTAATAGACAGGTAGGCATCTTGTCAACATGCACATCAAGCGCAGCCACACCGGGGATGTCAAGCAACAGCCAAACACTTGAGACGACGATATCAAGTATGATAAGTCAATTAATGCGTGCAGATATGGTGACTTAACTTTTCTTCACTATATGTGCATATAAAATAAATTGGTTGCCAACAAATCCTCCATAGGTTCAAGGCGTCAGAATCTATATTTTAAAAATCCCACAATTGCGAAAATCTTATCGAACTTATCTACAGTTAGTTAAGGCGACGTGTGCAACTTTATTGAAGATAATTCAGGTAGAAAATAATATGTAAGAGAAGCCTTAGGACTATATAGCAAACCTACCACCTGAAATAAAGAGACCCAGTATGCAAGCATGCGGTTAGTAAATCGCATGCAACGTGCCTACAAACGCTGCGCCGGTTCTGCCTACCCTCTCCGCAGGAACCGTCATCGTTTCGATGCTGGTCCCGGGTGGACTCGCTTATGGCTCACTAAGACTGCCTGATTCAGGCACTCGCGACCGTATCTGCTGGTGTCGATGGAGTACAACGTATCGGCACCTGCCGCTTCTGCAGGTGCCACTTCTTCTCCGCATGCACGGTGCCTTTCTCTTGCCCCTCAGAAACGGCCTTCGTGATCAGATCGCGCCATGCACGCCGATCAACCGACTTCGATTCCCTACACCTGAAATCAGCATTAAAACGTGAGAGGCTTACTTTGCTCATGTCTTGGTAACGAAGATTCGTTTTCCCTGCATGCCACACATGACCGATCCAACTCAGGAAATGTATGCAGTCCATTGCATACATACCACCGGCGCAACACTTCCGTATCTGCAACTCTGTTGTACCAACGAATGCGCAGAATCCGTCGTAAACACTGTTGGTGGAACCACTCGAGATATCGCACATCCCTCCGGTACATCGTCCCATCTCGCTGCAGTATAGAAGAACGGACAACACCATGGATTTGTCTGACAACAACTTCTAGCCGACGGTAAGCTGATGGTTGTTCCACACTCGGTACTCCAGCTTCCCGAATGCCCCACTGCCTTCGGTACTCTGATACGCAGCTCATTGTGTAGCTGCTGATCAGTCGACATCACACTCCCAAGGTAGCAGAAGCTGGATGTGCTTTCTAATACTTCAGCACCAATGCTGATTCGCAGCACGTTGTAGATTGTACCTCCGAGGAAGGCTGAAAGAGACAGACAGTTTTACTTATGTTGATGGTGAGCCCGAATTTAGGCGCTGTCGAAGCCAGAGCACGAGTCATGTGCTGCAACTCATCCGCGCTGTGTGCAAACAATGCACAGTCGTCAGCAAACAATAACATACGGATGGTTGTCTCCTAGGGTAGAGTTCTCGCATTGAAACGACGGATGTTCTGCAAACCCACCATCTGTACGGTGCTTCACACGAACAGCGTAAGCACAAGCCGCACCAAACGCTCATGTCATTGCATGAAGATAAATATTAAACAGGAAAGGAGCTAAGACACAGCTTTGCTTCACACCAGTGACAAATGCAAAGTCATC